CAATGGAAGCTTTGTTGATGTTGTTGATGTTGTTGTTGTTACTGACAGGGTCCCCCATTAATTTGTTAATGTTGTTGATCCTGTTTTTATCAGTTGGAACGATTTTCAAACTTTTCGGACGAGATGAACTTTTGCTATCGAGACTGACGTTGGTATCGTTATCATCTGGCAGAACAGTTGCACGTGTAGCACAATCGCTGGTATCTATTTCGGCGTGAGTGCGTGTACCGACGGTCGGATGGCTGTTGACACTGACGCTGCAGTCGCAACTGTCGCTGTCATCCTCCTCCCTTCCTTTCCCAAAAGATTCATCTCCTACTTTCTCAGTATCGTCGTCCACATCGTCACTATCGGCTCCTCCATCGCTACCAGCATCGTCGTCGTTCAAGGACTCGTAGGAGTCGGGGGAGGGACAGGTGTGGAAGCTGATGAGAGTTTCGTTCTGTGGATGGTCGGATGAAGGAATGAATACATGAAGGGGTGTATAAATGAGAAGATGAAGGATGCATGAAGGGATGAATGAAAGGAGGGGTGAATAGATGGAGGGACAGGTTGTTTAATGGATAGATTAATGGCCAGTTGAATAAATGAATGAACAATGTTATGACGAGTATTGGACGCTGATGGTTTGGGTGACCCGTCAAAACAGCGCCGACTAATGGCGTTCAACAAAAAAAAAGCTTAAATTTCTCGACAAAACGGCGCAAAAATTAAATTCAGAAACCACCACTTATTAAATGTCAATATTTTATAATTGAAATTACAAAATTTAAATGCGCTAACGCGAAATCATTAGAATAATTGTTGCAAATTATTATTTTTTAAACAGTGGAACAAAATTGTGAAAATGGCATGTCAAAAGCCGTTAACTTAATCTATAGTGGATATGTTAATGGATTTTGAAAAGGCTGGTCCAAATGCAAAAAGCACCGCATTTACAAACTTCAAACTATTTGCTTGTTTATTCCACCTCGGACAATGCCTCGGGCGTAAAGTGCAAGGAGAAAATCTCCAAACTGCATAATGAAAAAACGAAAACATTTAATTATTTGTACAAATGCTGCTGGCTCTTTCATTTGTTCTACTACTGCATCAAGTCATCGCAGCATTTGAAGGGCTAAGTGAAGCTTGCCCAGATGTTGTTAAAAAAAAGCGTAAGAATACTGGGCAGATAAGAAGATAATTATGTTCGTCGTGGTCGTAAAGAACAAAATCGCCAAGCGACAGCAAGATTTTCAGTGACATTTAGGAATGTTCGTGATCGGGTGCAAGAGAACCTGCTACAAACCAATAACTCAGTTGATGAATAGCATCCTGCATTTCAGCATTCTGTTGAATGTCACCATCCGAATGTTTACAAGCTTATTGATCACTTCCGCAAAGAACAAAAGTTTGCCGAAAACAAAATTGTTCAGTACAATGCAGGGGAACGAAACAAAGCTGCCAGCAAATCCAAATATCTCAAACTGAACAACAATATTGTCTAACAACAATATTGCCAACTTGTTACACCATATCACGAACGGAATTTTTACGTCACAATGCATAGTTTGTTTGACTTTGTGATTGACATTTTTAAAACTTCTTACGAATTAGTATAATAAAATAATAATAACGTCTCTCATTTGGTTAAACTTTGTTTTATTCTTGTATTTTTAAAAATTTATTTCGAAAAACTAACTTAACATCAAATGAATTTGTTGAGATTTGCGTTTTGCAAACTTATTTATAGAAAAAAAACATTCATGCTCTTATTTCTCCAAAATTTCACCAACGATGCCATGTTGCGCTGTTTCGTCGGCTTTCGGCTTTTTGTCTTTACGTTATATTGCCGTGCGCGATTTTTTCGGCGCTGTTTTGTCGGCACCACTGTCGGTGAACCTATATTTTGAATATTAGCCGGTGTTTAGAATAACTGGTAGAACAAACTCACAGATATCCATTTCTTGAATGGTTGGTCGACCGGAGAGTACAAATTTGTTAATTTGTTCATTTGGTGGTTGCTTGTGGTGTGGCTGCTGTTTGTGGTGGTGCGGTTGTTGTTGTTGTGGTTGTGATGGTGTGGTGGTGTGGTTGTTGTTTGGGGTGGTGTTGATGATTTTAGAGTTGAACTTTTCAGAATTTGTAAAATCACTTGAAGTAAAATTTAAAAATAAACATTATAAAAGTTAATATATTTGCATTAATGAGTTAGACAATCCTCTCATTCACTCACTCATTCACTCACTCACTCATTCACTTACTTCAACATTAAACATTGAATTGTTATGCAACCTTTCAAATCCAGTCATGAAGTTCAGCAGAACGTTCCTACCAATCGTCAGCAGGCCGTATGTTGGCTCTGGAAATAAAAGCGATAATGACGACGACGATGATGACGACGATAGTGATTTTTGGACATGATGATGATGATGGTGATGACGATAAAGATAACCTAAATCCTCGATGTCATTGCTCTCAATCATCAGCGTCAGTTGGTTCCTCTTGAAGTACTGTGTGGGGGGAGGGGTGTGAATCACATTTAAGAGCCAATCAAGTCATGCCAATCATTCGATCCGATCATTCAATCGATCATTCAATCGAACAATCACTCGATCAATCAACCTCATAATCAGGCAACGAACAAGCCAGTAAATTAATTCACTAATTAAAGAAGCTATCAAACATAACAATTAAACTGTGGACAATCAAGCAATCGTTAACCAGCAAATCAAACAAGAAAAAAACGGCTAAATTTAAAAATATCAATCATTCGCTAAACAACAATAAAAAACAACACATATCATTATCATCAGCCAACCAACCGACCAACCGATCGACTCACCAATCAATAAACCAAACATACAACAAACCAATCAAACAAACAACCAACTGACCAGTCAGCTAATCAGCCAACCGACCGACCAATCAACTAGCGAATTGACCATCCAAAAACCCATCAACCGACCAACCGACAAGCCAACTAACCTTATAAATAGCTTTCAGCATATCAGCCCCACTTTTCAGTGTGTAACAAAGTTCATCCAACGACCTCAACTTCTTCTGAATTTTCACTCTCAAAGATGTTTTGAGCTGAGGCTGGTGGGCGGAGTCAATTAACATAATTCGTTCATAAAAATGACAAGGAAGGGAAATCATTTAAATATTTACGTTATTAACAAACAAGGCAGGCGCTCCATAGCACAAATACGGAAACTTCTACCATTTGAACGAACTCGCTCACTTCAACAAGTTAACCAAATAATTATTTATAAAAACATGTGCATGTACGATGATCACATCCACAACCATCAGCAACAATAAACATATCTTCCGAACATAATTCTTAAAAACTAAGTGATAATAACAACAGCAACAGGAACATAGCACAACAAGACAACCAAAAGGAGAGGCTGGTTCAAACAATTCAACAAGAGATAGATAAGTTAGTACAATGGAGTATCAAAAACCGAATGTAGCTAAAAACACAGAGAAAAGTGGTGCCACGATCTTTACAACTGACACAAAAGAAGCACAGTGGTCATGTAATCTCAAAATTCAACTAACTTCGACAAAATCTCAGTATTTATAGGTGTCACGTATGACAGGACGCAGGGATTGATTTTGGCAAACACGCCCAGAAGATTATAGAATAAATGAAAAAAGACTAGTAAAATATTATTTTATTTTTATTATTATTTTTTATCTTTATTTTATTTTATTTAGAAGTATATAAATGAGTGTGTGTATTTTATTTAGAAGTTTATAAGTGAGTGTGTATGTGTGGTTTATTTCTGTTTTTGAAAAGTCATCATGTATAATGATATTATAATAACCTTTTATTTCATTTAGATATGGGCATATGTTTTTCGCGCCCATCATTTCTTTATGTTTATTAAGGGACATGACAGTCCCGCTATACAAAGGCAAAGGTGATCCATTGAACTGTTCATCATATCGGGGTATACGTCTGTTAAAACACTCCCTGAAAATTGTCGAGAGAAGATTAACGTCGTGCATCACAATCGGAAATTATCAATTTGGTTTTCTAGCGGGGAAATCAACAATTGATGCAATTCGCATCCTTCGGCAACTGCAAGAGAAGTACCTCGCAAAGCATCAACAACTATCACACATTTTTGTAGACCTTGAAAAAGCATTTGATCGAGCTCCCCTTGAAGCAATCAGGTGGAGTCTACGTGGACAACTCATTCCAGAATATCTTGTTCAACTTGTGATGGAAATGTATACGAATACTAAGACTCTTGTCAGCACAACGGTTGGAAACACAGATGCATTTGACATCGGCGTTGGAGTTCACCAAGACTCGATTCTCAGTCCACTGTTATTTATAACTGTGATGGAAGAAATCACAAAACCGATACGCACTGGTGACATTTGGAATCTAGTATATGCTGATGATATCGTTTTAACAGCCACGTCTGAGCAGAATGCAGCACAGATGTTTGAAGATTGGAACACCAGACTCGCCGATCATGGATTCAAAGTCAACATCAGCAAACCCAAAGCAATGAACACTGGTGAACCCATCCAATCCACAGTTACTGGATGATGGCCCTGTTCAGTTTGTAAAGCTGGTGTAGGTAACAATTCAATCAAGTGTCAGCAGTGTAACTAGTGGTGTCACAAACGTTGTTCAAAAATAATTGGTTCTTTATCTAAAGTGTCCAATTTTGTTTGTCCTGCTTGCATCAATCCACAACAACAAATTCGAAATAGCACTGTTTTCGAAGCCATTAAGGTAGAGAAAGCCAAATCGTTTCAATATCTAGGGGATGTTCTGGATTGTACTGGAACAGCTGAAGCTGCCGTTCGAGCACGCATACGTGCAGCCTGGAATAAATGGCATCTCCTTGCCTCTATATTGATGCGGCGTGACATTCCACTACCACTACGATCAAGACTTTATAAATATGTGATACGTCCGGTGTTGTTATATGGTGCAGAAACATGGCCAATGACAACCAAACTGGAACAACAACTTCAACGAACCGACATGAAAATGCTCCGATGGATGCAACGAATTAGTCTGAAGGACCACATCAAATCTACCGAAATCCTGCGTCGTGCTGGTTTAGATGATATAAAGGACAAATGCCGGCAACGCCGTCTGCGGTGATTTGGTCATGTCAAACGAAGTAGAAACAGTGCCATAACTTCTCTTGCAGATGTTGAAGTACCTGGCAAACGTCCCAAAGGCCGTCCAAAGAAGTCCTGGTCGAAAACAATCGAGCGAGACATGAAAGCTCTAAATTTAAATAAAATGGATACAACTGATCGTCTAATTTGGCGCAAAAAGTTGATGGCAAAGAGAACAACGTCCTACCTCGGGAAACCAAGTCTCTGGACGCAAAACGAAGATTGATTGATTATGTTTATTAAGGGTGCTTAGTGGTACAGATTGGAGCTGGAACAGAAAATTGCTCAGATCCATATATATGGCACTAAAAAGAAGTGTAGCAGAATTGGTGTGGAAGCCTTGGATGGCCAAGTCGCAACTGGAGAGGGCTGAATCGGAACAGTATACTGAGCAATCTGCACCTATGGCTTGAATGTCAGGCCTTGTCACAGTTATGAAGAAGGTGTGGACTAGATAATGAGCTCTCTGAACCCCGCAAACGCCCATTGGTGGCAGCAGAAAGGATGCTACAGATATTGGACATACTGAAAAAAAAACTAGTCTGAGAACAACTAAAACTACAACATCAAAAACATCAACATCATATCATTATCATCAAAAACAACAACATTGATAATAATAAATAACAATAAAACATCAGCATTTCCACCATCATCATCATCAACCTCATCATCATCGTCGAAGAGACCTACCTGGTAGCTATCCAGGTTATCCATCCACTGGAACCAGCTGGGATCGAACAAAGTGGTGTCCACATTCCCATCAGGACCTGCAGTGTTACACATCATCGTTCCATCCTTCCCACACCATCATCGCCTCATCATCACTATCATCATCTTATCAATTCTAGTTACGATCACATCATATGACCGTCATCACATCACCGCTATGATCGTCTTATCAACTCTAATTAGTATTATCCTATAATAACACCATGTCATCATTCTCATCGAACCCCTATAAGGAAGGATGAGTCCGACATGGATGTCTGGATATGTCTGGATCAACATTTGAAAATCGTCGTTTGACACGTGTGCAATGAAATATATACCAGCCAGCTAACCCAGCCTATTTGGTAACACCTTAGAAATAATAATAAAAAAACGTTGAGTTAATATCAGAGCTTTAGTAATTTAGATGAGAAGACAAAATAAAATAATTAAAGTAACATTTTATTTACAAGCCGTACTCTGCTAAATGGACAGACAGACAGACAGACAGACAGACAGACAGACAGACAGACAGACAGACAGACAGATAGATAGATAGATAGATAGATAGAAGGATATATACAAACAGGGCTTTGGAGCGGAGCTGGAGCTGGAGCGCGGAGCAATCGGAGCAACCATATTCTGGTCGGAGCGTGAGCGGAGCCGGAGCACACAAATTTTAAGTGCTCCATGCTCCAATAATAAAAAAAAATATTTAGTTAAAAAATAAAAAAAATATTATTTTTTAATATTTTGTATCTTTTAGTTCAACTCAAAAAATTTTTTTTGTTATGATATTTAGAATCTTTCATAGCAAAGCAATGGCTTCCTTTTATACGCCATTTGTAAACACTAGTGGACTTTTTCACTAATCTTTTTTTCTGCAATCGTAAATTCGTAATCGCACATCAAAGGTAAGATTCTTATGAGAATTTTTTAAATAATATAATTTTTAATTTAAAAAGCAATACATTACTTCTTAACAAAATTTAAATTTTTAATTAAAATTAAATTAGGTCCGGATATGACTTCTAACCAAAATTTGTGTCAATCACCTATAATCGATAGTCGCTTTTTGAAAAATGATCTGGAAAATATATTTGAGTTTGAAGAAGAAAATGGACAAAAAAAGTCAGCTAGATGTAAGCTAAAAAATGATGATGTGCAATGCAATTTTCAGGCAATGGGAACAAGTGTGTCAAAAAAGTTTAATCTTTGGCGTCATGTGAAACGTAATCATCCTAAAATCTATGATGAGTTAGTAAAACAAAAAGATGAAAACGATAAAGCTGCCTCAGATAAAAAACGTGGTAATGAAAATGATGCCACGCCATCTAAAAAAAAAATAAAAACTGTACAAGAAAACATGAGCACATATTTTACATCATCAAAAGTTACAATCACTATGGATGCAAGTACTTTTCAAGAAGGACTTGTTGAGATGATTTGTTTGAGTATGGTTCCATTTACTTCATTTACATTAAAAAACAAAGGATTTCAAAAAATTGTTGGTGAAATGGCA